CGAAAGAAAGCTTGAAGAATTATATTTTTTTTTCTCTTTTGCTCTTTGGTTTGATCCAGCCGGCCAAATGAAGAGCAAATATCTGATTTACTTTTATACCTTCTAAACACTTGGCCCTCGTCGCGCCAAGTGTCGTCCTTTGTCCGGGTCCGTTTTCATCCCGAAACGATTAAATTTCGTACCGATTTAAACTCAAAATATTTTATATGAACTTTATTTAAAATATTTTTTAAATTTTCAAATTTTTATAAAAATTTCGTTTTTAGGGGTCATCGAACACCCGTCACCTCGAAAAACGTGAAAAATCTGACTATCTCAGAATTCGACGAAATTTGTCTGGGTAACTAGATTTCGTGAGACGAATCCAATGGTGAGGTCCGTTTCATCATCCGAGGTCTATAAAAATACCAGTTTTTTTTTTTTNTCCGTTTTGTCATCCGAGGTCTATAAAAATACCAGTTTTTTTTTTTAACTCACACTATAATGGCAAATTACCATTTTCCCGTTTTTTTTTTCAGAAAAAGTTAAAATTTTTCCCGGGTTTCACACAACTATTTAAATTAATTTTGCTATTTAATTCAAACCAAATTTCATCGACTAAGTTAATTTTATGTTGCACAAATTTATCCCAAGAGCTTTACCCCACCACCACCCATCCATCACAACTTATAGGTTAACTATCATCACTAAGACCACCATCATTAACACCTCCAAATCTAAAACATATCTTCAGCAACCATCGGTACTGCTTCGAGAAGGCAAGCTTACTTTTAACTACAATCCAAGCCAAATAATGTATCAAATTGGCAACAAATCAAATGAACTATAAGACATATTGACAACAAATCAAGTTGAATTTCAGTATACCGCAAGAATATTGTATAACTTGCAAAATTTATGAATGTGCACAAAGCATTAAATTGAAGTCAAGATTTGAAATTTTTTAGAGAAAAAATAATATTTAAAAACATAGACATTACAACCTAAAGAACCTTGAATAGCATTATAGAGAACTCATTAAACATTATGCATACACCTCACAATGGTTCCTGTCATTTTTGCTTTCTTTTTATGCAAACCATTCTCAAATGTGCCAAAAAAATAAAAGGCTTGGCTCTTGATCAAAAGAGCTACTTGGTTCTTCTGTAATTTTTTGCAGTTTTTGGACAAAACAAACACCAGAGATAGATGAACTCATCCTTGTTCACAAAGGACCACTTAGCCTAAACCAATCTTAGGTTATCATATCCTAGAACGTACGGAAAAAGATCGTAAATAACCTAAAAATATGTAAAACTAAAAAAAATGACAAATCCAAACTAACAAACTACTTTCTTAGGAGATCATTGTCCTGCTGGAGTTGTGTCATTGCAGATTGCTAGAACTGTGCCGTCGTGCTATAGATGGTCACTGCAGTAGACAAAGTAAGTTTGCTAAAAAATAAGGATAATGTTGGCCCACTCATTGAAGCAATATTACAAACACTTGGTGTTTCGGTGATTGTGGTGGGTTTTGATAGCAATTTGTGCATGTGGGGGAGGGGAGGCATTTGTTTGCTAGACAGGTTTCAGTGGCAATGGTGGGTAGGAAAGGGGGTGGAGGTGCTGATTGGCTGCAAGTAAGAGTTTGACTTTAGATATATAGGGTGTTTGGTGGGTTGTTATGAGTTTTGGTGGAATAAGGAAGGGGTGGTGTGGTAAGGGGTGACATACGCACAAAGAGAGAGAGAGAGAGAGAAGAGGGATACCCGGGTGAGGCTTCAAGATTATCGATTGTGGATCACTGTGTCTTCAGTGGTGCCTCTATAGTATTACTGTGAAGAGAGAGGGTTTCGATGATGAGAGAAAAAGAGAGAAGAGAAAGGGGCGCCGGTGGCTATTCGTTGGGGGCCAAGATCGAGAGAAGTAAAAAAGAGAGAAAGAAAGGGAGGCAGATGAAAAAGCGGATATTAGAAATAATTTGGTGAAAAGATCGAGATGAATACTAGTGATAAAGAAAAGCAAAGTAAATAATATTGAATATTCTCAACCTATAATGTGGAAAAGTGATTTATCTGATCTGGAAAAGATATTAATTAGAGTAGTATGGGCGAAGTTCGAAATTTAAATATAGACGTTAATTTTAAAATTTTAGATTTAGATGACACTAATTTTGGGCGAGATTGAGAGGCGAATTCAATGTAGGGGTGTCAAATTTGGAAACTAAAAATTTTGAGGGGTAAAAATATTTTAAGAGTTAATATGGTACGTCGGATTGAAACAATCTGAGACGTCAATAACTCAAGACTTTTTGTGATAACATGGTCTGTTGGATGATGCATTTTTGGTCTCGAAACAATCTGAGTCACTCTTTGTCTCTTGAATTCAAAATTGTTCTATTTTATTATATAGATATAGAGAGATATGAGATGAGATAGTATGTTTAAAACGTCTAAGAGATAAGAGAGAGAGTTATATGAAAGATAGGAGTGTTAGAGTTAAGTCTAATTATGATCGTCGGATCAGTATTTATGAGATGATTTGAACCATCTTTTATGTTGAAATTACGTTGTCTATTAGATATGTTTATGTTTTGTCTCAAAACGATCTAAATCTCTTTGTTATCTATAAAATTCAAACTCAGCTCTACTTTATTATATAGATATCTGTATAAAGAATATGACTATTTATTTCTCTCTCTCTCTCGTATGTAAGAATATATATATACACACACACACACATTAATACATATAATAACATTTTAACACAAAAAATAGTACCGTTCAAATACAAAAAATAGTGTCATTTAAATACAAAAAAAATAATAACATTTAAACACAAAATATAATAAATATTTAAAAACAAAAAAAAATAATTACATTGAGTATTAATATTTGTGAAAATAACAATAATAATATGAACAATAACATGCCTAATAAAAATAATAACATGCTCACAAAAAAAGTAATAAGAACAGTAACATGGTAAACAATTTATATATAAAAAATTGATGGCATATCTTCATTAATAGGAATAATAATTTTCAAATTAGAAAATTAATTTAAAGTTACTTTTAAGGAAGAGTATTTTGGAGTTTTAAAAAAATAGAAGACTTAACTACTTATTAGTAAGATTAAAAACATACTTATCCCCAAATAAATTTTCTTAACGAACAAAACTCATTATAATTTTTTTAAGGAGGACTCAGTCCCAATTTTCACTAATAAATATGTATAATAATATATTTGAATTGAATTATAATACCACTTCTCCATACGTCTATGGTATTAAAAATATATGATAAGTATANAAGGAGGACTCAGTCCCAATTTTCACTAATAAATATGTATAATAATATATTTGAATTGAATTATAATACCACTTCTCCATACGTCTATGATATTAAAAATATATGATAAGTATACGTTTTTTAAATTAATATGGAATCAAATTTATCTACCAAACAAAGTATTAGATCCAATTAAATAAATAATAGTACAATACAATATTTAATCCACTTATAATATGGCTACTAAACGAGTCCATTGTATACATCACCAATAAAATATTGTAAATTCTCAATTAATTATTATTAATAAAGTTATTATAATTTTTTTTTAAAAAAAAATCAATGTGTGTGACCTACAAATTAGTATTGTGATGATTTTTCATTGGATGTGAACACCGCCTCGCACCAGATATTTCTCCTTGTACAGGAATTGTAGTATTCGATTAGTGTAAAAGCTTGGATGATTTTTTTTCAACTATTTGACTCCATCACTTTAACCGAAAAAACAAAAACCCCATATGTGAACAGGAAAAACAATTTTGTTCTGTACTGTTATGATNTAGTGTAAAAGCTTGGATGATTTTTTTTCAACTATTTGACTCCATCACTTTAACCGAAAAAACAAAAACCCCATATGTGAACAGGAAAAACAATTTTGTTCTGTACTGTTATGATATGTAAAATNTATGTATAATAATATATTTGAATTGAATTATAATACCACTTCTCCATACGTCTATGGTATTAAAAATATATGATAAGTATATGTTTTTTAAATTAATATGAAATCAAATTTATCTACCAAACAAAGTATTAGATCCAATTAAATAAATAATAGTACAATACAATATTTAATCCACTTATAATATGGCTACTAAACGAGTCCATTGTATACATCACCAATAAAATATTGTAAATTCTCAATTAATTATTATTAATAAAGTTATTATAATTTTTTTTTAAAAAAAAATCAATGTGTGTGACCTACAAATTAGTATTGTGATGATTTTTCATTGGATGTGAACACCGCCTCGCACCAGATATTTCTCCTTGTACAGGAATTGTAGTATTCGATTAGTGTAAAAGCTTGGATGATTTTTTTTCAACTATTTGACTCCATCACTTTAACCGAAAAAACAAAAACCCCATATGTGAACAGGAAAAACAATTTTGTTCTGTACTGTTATGATATGTAAAATGGCAAATTATACTAACACCCCTAAACTATCACCCTTTTACTNTTTGGAAAGTTGCCTTTCCTTTAGTGTAAAAGCTTGGATGATTTTTTTTCAACTATTTGACTCCATCACTTTAACCGAAAAAACAAAAAACCCATATGTGAACAGGAAAAACAATTTTGTTCTGTACTGTTATGATATGTAAAATGGCAAATTATACTAACACCCCTAAACTATCACCCTTTTACTACTTTACCCCTCAACTGTCAAATATCTCACATTATACCCTAAATTAACACTTGTATTTCACATTGCTCCAATCACAAAAGTCTTTTATCTTTTTAGATGGAAATCGTTGACGTGTTAGAGTGAAATAAAAAAAAAATTACATAGTTTGAAGGTAAAATGATATAACTTTTTATTAAACATGTACTAGACATTAATAATTAGAATAATGTGAAACTAATCACATAGTTGAGGTTACAATATGAGAAATTTGAAGATAGAGGGGGCAAAGTAAAAAACGATAGTTTAGGGGTGTAAATGTAATTTATCCTATGTAAAACAAAAAATCTTTTTTCTTGTAAGACTAGCAATGCACCACGTGCGTTGCACGTGAATAGTTTTCATACATAAAAATTGATATAATATATTAGTATATGTGTATTTGAATTAAATATTATCTCAAATTTATCAGACTTAATTTTTCATTACTCATATTCTATTATAGGATTATGAAAATTTAGTATATTTCTAAAATTAGTTATTCTAACTATTAGAAAAAAAGATAAAAAAAAAATAGTTAAAGTTTTATTTTTTTTTAGAATTTTGTGATTGAGAGTATTTTTTAATAATGTTTGAGAAAATAAATTTTTTGAAATTCAATTAGGATTTCACTTATAATTCCTTGAATAAAATAAAAGTAATTGTCAATATACTACATAATTATATTGAAACTTTAATATAATTAAGAATTAGTTAGATCAATTAGAATAAGATTGAATATAATACTCCATACTATATATTTTAAAACATTCCAAAATTTTAAAAAAATCAAGTTTTACTTTAAAATAAACTACAAACTATTTTTACATAAAATATTAATACAACTTAAAAAGTTTATTGTAAATTTAAAAATTATATTGATGTAGCATAAATTAATTTTAAAAAATTATACATATAATTATTTTTTATCTTAGAATAAAAGGGTTAAACTTTTTTAATAAAAAAAATAAACATATATGCGAATAATGTTATCTTTGTATATGAGNTCGAGCCCTGGAGTCAGCAGTGATTTATTCTCAGCTTCTTCCTCCTTTGTATCAGAAGTCCCATAGTTGATTTTCTGATTTTCCGGTTCATCTATGCCCCTCTCATCAATTTTGTCTGTGGTTTTCTGCACCATCTCCTCCACATTAACTTCAGCTGTGCCTGTGGGAGCTTCCTCAGTAACTACCTCTCCTCCACCATTCTTCTTCTCAACTCCTTCCATATTGTCTTTATCCCCAGGAGTTTCCTCATCAACCACCTCTCGTTTGTTATGGTCCTCATGACCCTCTGTATCTTCCGTAGCAATGCCTGCACTGTTTTTAGTTTCTTCTGCAGCAGCTTCCTTGTTTTCAGCAGCCTCACCTTCTCCAGCAGCCTGATCCTTCTCCTCCTCCTTTGCTCCCTTCTTTGAACTGGATTTCTTTTGCTTTTTCTTGGGAGTCACACTTTCTGGTGTCTCCATTGCTTTTGATTTCGCACTTAACCTGCCAGAACGTCTTGGAGTGTCACCTGCAGGTAATGGAAATGCATGATGTGAAAAAAGAAAGAACATGTGGGAGCATCCGAACTACTAATTTTTTTCTTTCATTTCTAATTTAGGGGAGAGTGGCTGATTAACTCATTACAGGAACGTATTTAAGCAATACACTCCTAACTGATTGGAACAACTACGGTTAGTTCGGACAGCTCTCTGAAGGCGTGACAGATGGAATGAAAGGCATATACCTGTGCCCCAATCAAATTCCGAGGCAGAAGGACCTCCAGGGTGAGATTTGAGATACTGGTCCAACAGTCTCTTACTCTTGACCTCCTCACCAGTGGGCGCAAAGAACACGATCTCATTTCTCCTAGGGGTCCCACCTTTCTTTGGAGTAAACTGCACAAAGGAAAAATGTATTAGTTGTTTAACAACCCAAACTCCAAAATTAAGAAAGAATGTCTAGACAATCATTACCAAGAACATAAGCTCGCATGGCAGACAAATATCTGGAACTATACCCATGACAAGCATGAGACATGGCAACATAAAAAATAAAATAAAAACCACTTGATGATTTCCAAGAAAAATACTTCCAAATACAGATTAAAAATTAAATGGAAAGTTGGAAAGTAATATACGTCATCAATCGCACCTATGAAAAACACACCTTTCAAATATTTGAGGAAAATAGAAAAAAAAAAAAAAAAACAACAACTATAAGGGCATCAATATATCCCAGATGTTCACAAACTGAGATTTAAAAAAAAATGAGAGTATCAAATAAAAGAAAAACCTGAAAACATCAACAAATGTTCACAGCCATAATCGGTTACTTTGTGAAATAGAGGGTTCTTTACAAAAAGAATTGGTAACTTTCTTAAACCAAATTTGGACAAACTGAGAAGACGAGAATCTTCAGGTTTTTAGATCTTTGGATGAAAGATATGGTACAAAGTGGATCTTTGGATGAAAGATATGGTACAAAGTGAAACAGTATATTCAAAGAGAGGTTAAAAAAATCAGGAATCCACAGTTTAGGAGTCCAAACTACCTTGAAAAGCAGGACAAGTGTAATGTGTTGAATTCAGGATACAAGAAATGGCATTATTCGAAGTAGTTATAAACTTATCATAAAGACAAGCTTCCAACTTCAATTTGAATTCATTGATCATTGTGGTTTATGAAGCCCATCCCACCATACAGCATATTAAGAGAACTATATAAGAACGTGATGGTCTTCTCGTGTATTCTACCTACTACACAAGTAAATAAATGAACAAACTTAAAATGATTGAATGGCATTGATTTATCCATGTCATCCGAGTTATTACATGTACTTCTACCAAAGTTCTAAAATTAAAACCCTATAATTCAAAATCATTTTTTTAGGATTGGTTTCATGCAAGAATATGCAACTGTGTAACTGTATATACAATGTCTTTTTTACGACGCATTATGTGTTTAACCTCTCTGCAATAACAAAGAATAAACCATTTTATTCATTGATAAAGTCTATATGTGAAACACTGAGTGAAGCAACTGAGAATTCATAGGGGGAACAAAAAAGTAATACAAAGAACTATGGAATATTTCTTGAAGGGAGTAAATCAAATTATAAGGAAAAGCACATTGACATACTGATAAAGGCCGGATAATTTTCTTAAAGTCATATCAATCACCATTATGAATGATGAGACCCAGGGAGGATGTATATATACATATGCCACTCAACATGATGTACGCAACCACAATTGCAATCTCCACAGCAACACCATGACAGCAGTTGCAATAAGCTGGAGCCCTAAAAAAGAGACCGGGCAAATACACAGTTTACCATCTTTCAGAAATAATATGAGCTCAAATAAGTACATCTGATGCCGCCTTTGAAAAATATATTCCCTCTTAACAGGCCAGAAGGCCCATAACCCAGTAGCCAAACAATACACCCAACTTGCCTCCTTACTGGTACAAAGTGGTCACTGAAATTACCAAACCATGTTTTCACAGTTTGCACCAAGAAATGCTTCCCGAATTATGCTGAATTACTTCATATGATACAAATTACTAAAACCAATAAATACGCAGGTTGCTGATTTAGCTATTGAAGTCTCTGCCAGTGCTTGACTCCCCTTAAGTTACAAGGACAACTTTGAAGCAACAAAAGTAACTGTTTATTAGCTTAAATCTCACATAAAGTTCCATAAAGAAGCCAAAAAACTACATCAACAAAAAAAAAAAATGATTGACAAAGCAGCCTGCGCTCTTTCCATATAAATAAATGCAAACACGCTAAAAATCAACATTTGGTTTGTCCTAACATTCAAAGCACTTACTATTTTCCATATAGAAGAAATATTGTTGCACCGTCCCTTCTCAAACTCTTCATCTACTCACCTCTTAACCATTTTACATCTCAAGTGAAACTTGAACCCTGCAAGTCATGGGATAGAATGCACGGAATAATGGCAGAAGTCCCAAGAAATTATTTCAAAAAAATGTACAAACCTCATTAGCTACTATTTATTCGACTGTGGATCCTACAGGAAAAATAGGTTGCTGAGAATCTCCTAGTTAAATTCTCTTTCCATATCAAGGAATCAGTTATCTTTTCTTAATTTATTTCCCCTATTAGTTAGCATAAATGTCAACACCACCAAACATAAGAATAAAAAATATAGCATGGCAGGTACATCAATCTCTAAATAGTTGGGATTAAGATTTTGTTAAGTTGAGGTACGTCAATCTCACCACCTTCTCGTACTCAAAGCTGGAGTTCAACACCCACTCAACCTCTTCTATGAGGGAGAGAAGACCCACAAACCCCCTAAGTTCACTTAAGCATCAATAAATGAGTTAACACATTTAAAAACAATGATTTCGTCCCCATGCGACTGGTCAATAGAGTAAAATGATGAAATAAAAAATCAATGACTTAGCAAAGATCAATCTGTGCATGGTCCACTCATACAGTTATACTCATATATATATAAATCACTGACTTAGCAAAGATCAATCTGTGCATGGTCCACTCATACAGTCATACTCATATATATACATATATATATATAGGACAGTGTTACTGTGATAACCATAGTATTATGTAATAATATCTCAACATCTGACAACTTTCAATAAGATGGTATAAGAGAAAACATCAGGTCCGTTATACAAGGCATTCCAGGAAGCTTACATAAGTCTGCTTGCCTAACAATACGGATGCAATTAGAGCTGGAAACCTGGAATACAAAAAATGATAACGCCACCAGTTTTCTCATTCTCAATGTTTGGCAAGGAATCAAGAGATCTTTGTCAATGCGGATTTGAATCGATGTGATTCCCACTTTTGACCCACACCTTGAAAGCAGTGGTTTTTTATTATCTGAATTTGAATGGATAAATCCATTGTAACCCTTGCCCAAAAGACCCAGCTTGACAGTCACTAAGTAACCATAGAAGCAATTCAAACCTTGTGGCTACTTCATAAACAAATTTATTTACGAACATTAATACACAGGGAGTTCTATATCTATTGCAAAGTATATAGAGGAATCAATTTCTAGTCATTTTTACATAAATAAGAGAATATGTAATCAAAATAGGTTCGGTGAATATAAAACTAAGCCCAACCACAAAACAGTCTACCATCTGTCAATTAATGTCTGCCCAGATAATGACAGCGACAACCAACAACCACTGAACTTTTGGCCCTACCATATGGCGGCCAGCAGCCAACCACCAGCATAGTCTTGTCTCACAAAGTTGAGCACACTTGGAGAATACATTCATCACACGAAATGCTGAAACAGCCAACACAATAACTGACAAAACACAAAACGATACAGGAAACCATAGAACCAATTGAAACCATATATTAACATAAGGAAAGCACAAAAAGTAAAACTTCACATGAAAAGAAGAGCACCAACCAACACCTCACAATTTATTTCAAACCCTAGCCTCCGTATGAACTCTACAATAAAGCTTTTATAGTCAACCCAGTAACTTCTTATTACAACATCACAGCTCATGTCATCCCCAAAATTTGGGAATAACGGAAATTTAATTACATGATGATAGTTACAAAAGGGAAAAAAAATTACTAGGAGATTTCAACATTGAAACCCCAATTGCCAGATTAGGCATGTAAACCATCACTCCAATAAGGCTTAGTTACTGGGACCAAAGGCCATAATAACATAAATTTTAAGAACCGTTAAAACACAATTACATGCTCCAACTAATCATAATTGAAAAAAAATGAAAGAATCAAAAGGTCCACAAGCTCCAAGAAAAACCCCTAAGCACAAAGCTGAAAGATGAATATAGATGTTGAATTCCTGAAAATGCAAAATAAAATCCACACAGATCATTATGTTTCAAGCCCAAAATGGATACATACAACCCACAAAAAAAAAAAAAAAAACTAACCCTCCTACATTAAATTTTCGAATTATACTAGAACTAAATTATTGGAAATTGAAAATAAAAAGTCAAGTAAAAACCATAGCTATAACACAAAAAATGCAAGCAGGAAATGATAATAGAATCATACCCACCTATAATAAATCGGAGTAAAAAGAATGAATTAGGGCACAGAACAAAGTTGAAAGTGGAAAGAAATGGAGAAGTATTTCTATTATCCATATATAAAATAAAATCCACGTAAATCATTGTGTTTCCAGCGCAAAATTGACACATAACAGCACGAAAAAACTAACCCACTAGCTTTAATTCTCGCTCAATACTAGAGCTAAATTTTTTAAAATTTGAAAAAAAAAAAAGAAAACAGAAGAAAAAACGATAGGTATAAACGACACAAACCTATGTAAGAAATCAGAGTAGAGGGAATGAATTAGGGCACAGAACAAAATTGAAAGCGTAAATGTGAAAGTGATTCTTTTATCTTTATATAAAAAAAAATCCACACTAATCATTGCGTTTCAAGCGCAAAATTGACATATATAAGCCACAAAAAACTAACCCTCCTAGATTCAATCTGGCATAAGACTGGAACAAAATTTTAGAAAAAAATTTTTAAAAAAATAAATACAATGAAAAACCATAACTATAGCACAAGAAATACAAGCAGGAAGGGATAATAGAATCACGCAAACCTACATAAGAAATCAGAGTAAAGAGAATGAATTAGGGCACAGAACAAAACCAGAGAGAGAAAGAAATGGCAAAGTGAGAGAAAATTGAACCTTCTTCGTCCAGCCTTGTGGGGCTGGAAGCTCAATAGAAACTACGTCGTCTCGCTTTTCTTGCTGGTTGATTTTCTCCATTGAATCGCCTTCGTCTTCTCTCCTTCTCTGTAAATTTCGAAATCTGCCACGGTTCCCGCTACTCTCTATACTTTCTTGCGCGAAATAAAAAGTGTTAATTGGAAATTGTACACGAAAGATTATTCGAATTTTAATTTGTACTCTCAAATATCAAATATTTTAATTTATACTTTCAAAGATAAAAATTTATATTAATATGCACCTCCAAAGATTAAAAATCTCAATTTTCACCCTCAAAAATAAAAATTTGTATCAATGTGCATCTCCAAAAATAAAAAATCTCAATTTACACCTTCAAAGGTAAAAATTTGTATCAATGTACACTTAAAACTAAATTGATAAATTATACCTAAATCTCTTATGTTGGTCACTTAATCATTTGGACCTCTTCACATTTAGAATATTATTCATACATCTCATGACGTTTGTGCACGTGTAACACGTAACCCCTTTTCGTTGATATCTATTAATATAACCGTTAAAAAATATGATTTTATTCTAATAAAAAATTATAATTTTATATTACCCTTTATTTGATAGATTTAATATACTCTAAAATTCAAAATCAAGCTAACCATTTGAATGTCTAATAGAATAAAGGGTTGCACATTGAGTGATATATTGCATTGGATATAAAAAATATTATATAAATATCTACATTCTTTTGGACATTCAAATGATAAACTTGATTTTGAACTTTAGAGTAAATTGGACCCACAAAATAAAAAGTAATACAAAATTATAATTTTTTATTAGGACAAAATTATATTTATTAACGGTTACATAAATATACATCAACAAAAAAGGGTTACGTGTTACACGTGCACAAACGTCATGAGATATGAGAGTAATATTCTAAACGTGAAAGGGTTCAAATGATTAAGTGAAAAACATAAGGGGATCTAGGTATAATTTATCAATTTAGTTTTAGATGCACATTGATACAAATTTCTATCTTTGGGGGTGTAAATTAAGATTTTTTTATCTTTGGGGGTACACACCGATACAAATTTCTATCTTTAAGGGTGTAAATTGAGATTTTNGGGGTGTAAATTAAGATTTTTTTATCTTTGGGGGTACACACCGATACAAATTTCTATCTTTAAGGGTGTAAATTGAGATTTTTTTATCTTTGGGAGTGCACATTGATACAAATTTCTATCTTTGAGGGTACAAATTAAAATTTTTAATTTTTGAGAGTATAAATTGAGATTCGAACTATCTTTCATGGTACAACTTGCAATTAACTCAAATAAAAATGGGGTTAGTTGATGACGTGGATGTAAGTGAATTCCAGACAATAGTACGTGGCGGTGTGAATGGGAGAAAATGTTTAGAAGACTACTCGAAGTTAAAATATTATAATTAAAAAAAATATTTTAATTAAAGATAAAATATTAAATATTTAAATTTTATAATTAAAATTTATGTTATATTATGTTATTTAATAAAATAAAATCAAAAATCAAAATCTAATTTTTTCTTAAAAAAATTATAATTAGTATACAATTATACTATCTATTGGAATAAATATAAAAAAAATTAAATAAGGAGACAAACCTTAATGGATACAATATCTTTTATCTTTAATTGGTATAAATTGGTCATTTAATAAACTTCGTTAATTTTTTAACTAATAAGTAGTTTAAAAATAATATTTTAAACTTGAGGGGTCTAAGTGTTATATACCTACAATTTTCAAGAGGTGCAAGTGTAATTTACTAACGGATTTATTAATTGAAACTAATGGTAGAGGTCTAAATGTTATACGCGTGCAAAACTCATGGAGTCGGTGTGCAATATTTTAAATGTTATAGGATCTAAGTGATTAGGTGACAAACTTTAAGAGATCTGAATGTAATTATTCTTATCATTTAATAATATAATTGTAATTGGACAGATGATAATTATTTTTGTACATCATTAGGATAATCACTAAATTAAGGAGAGTCCACACATTTATATATAAATTTATTATTAAATAGTAATACGTGATGATACACAAATGTATTTATGTAAAATCAATCAAATATGTGGTGGTGGTGTATGTGATTGGGTATGCTCAACATAGTAAAAGACACAGATTAAGTGGTTCGGTTTGAGTAACTTACTTCACAAAGAATGGCTATGGTAGTTGGAGAATCTTTTAACTCAAGTTGTGTAGAGTGCTGAGATTTGTGTGATGCCTCCTTATGTGTAGGCGAGACTTATAATTTATAGGCAAATAGCATTTCACAAGAGCTCCGAGGGAGCCTTGATTGAGGCGCTATTACGAGGAGCGGGGTGGTTCCGTGAGGTCAACGTCATCCTCGTAATGGGCAAGGTGATTGGCAATGTGTATCCCGATGACTACACTCCACGATTCTCTTCTGAAGATGGAGATCCCCACATGTGCTAGTAATAGACTGATCTTCCAAGGCGGTGCATTTGGCTCAATTGAAATTGTGATGAGTTTTTGTTGGTCTATATTTATAGCCTAGGCTTGGCCTGGATCTGTAATTCGGGTCTGCCCTGCATTTGTGATCTGGGTCTTTGTCTACATCTATGATCTGGGTCTGGTCCGGACCGAGCCCATTATTTGACTTCTATGCCCAGAGTCTAATGTGCTTTGGGGCAGAGGGCATTAGTAAGAATTCGTCCTTTTTAGCAGTAGATACCTAGGGTTCTCTTTTAGCAGTAGGGTTCTTTTTTAGTAGCAGGTATCTATGGGTCCTCTTTTAGCAATAGGTTTTTCTTTTAGTAGTAGGTACCCTTTTAGTAGTAGACTATGGCTTTAAATAGCACACCACATACCCATCTTGAGGGCAAGAGAAGAAGGAGAAAGGTGAGATGTCGAATATGGGCCAAGAGTGGAAAGTGTGGCACTGTAAGCGAGGAGCAAAAGGCACCAACAGTAAGAGACGAGAAGGCGACGGGCGTATTGAGCACAGGCGTGGGAGNCTGTAAGCGAGGAGCAAAAGGCACCAACAGTAAGAGACGAGAAGGCGACGGGCGTATTGAGCACAGGCGTGGGAGCGCTAAGCATAGGCATGGGCACGCTTGGCACGGGCAACGTCAATGGTGCTAGAGTGCAAGGCCCCAAGGCGCAGGCTCCAAGCAAAGTGCAAACGGGTGCTGGCGAGGCGTTGGGCGACAGCAAGGGCGCGACAGGCACAGACGCAAACATCCTAGGCACTGGCGGCTTGGGCACTGGCGAGGTGTAGGGGGCGCAGACGCTTTCTGTCTGGGCACTGGCAGCCTAGGTGTTGACGGCCTGGGCACTGACAACCTGAACGCTAGTAAGGCACTACACGCGGGCAGCAATGCAACGGGAGGTGATAGTGGCAGAACTAGAGTTACCCAGGGTCCACAACAACGTAAGCATCATGGCAAAGTAGTCATTGATGACGACGGTTGCAAGGTGAGCAATATTTCTAGTACCATCAATACTAATGTTGATGAAATTGCTTGGATTTTCTCTACTTTTTGTATTCCCCTTACTGTGTTATGCCGTTGGACTGAGATGGGCAAGTCGACTGTCGATGACTTTTCTAGGGACATTGCCATTTACGAAGAGGTGTTAGAGGCACGTTTGAGATTTCCAAAGCCTACACTTTTGTGCCGCGTCTTGGCACAGTTGTTTCTCATGCCAGGACGACTGACTCCACATGGTTGAAGAGTGTTGTTAGCATTTCTTACACTGTAGTGATGGGTGCATGGTGAGGTGTCTCTCTTACTTATGAAGAATCTGTTATCGCCTATATGTTACTGCAGAACCCCACTCCCAATCGAGATTGGTATCACTTTTTGCTGAGGGGTAGGAAAATTGATCACAGGACTATGCTCCAATTGTCATAGTTGAAAGTCTCAATTTTTATTCTTAAGAGGAGAGTAGGCTGCTCAGCAGGATTGGTTCGAGTGAGATGGGGTACACCCATGAGAATAGATATAAATCTTCCTTTTCTTATTCCTATTTAGTTGATGTGTCTTTTACCTTTTCACCATGCATTTAGCTCTTTTTCAGGTTTTTCAAAGTTGTTAGCAAATCAGGAGATGAGTCCTCAAGCTATAAAGGCCCACCCCATTAAGGATTATATGATTCTCATTGTTAGAGGCTTCCCCTCAGGAGGTGTTTCTACTCCATTTTCCTTTTNTAAGTCTTCAGGCTATAAAGGCCCACCCCATTAAGGATTATATGATTCTCATTGTTAGAGGCTTCCCCTCAAGAGGTGTTTCTACTCCATTTTCCTTTTCACTGGCTCGCGGCTCCTCTTCCAAGAAGAGATGTATGTTACATTTATGTGAATTTAATGATATTTTCAATTTTTGAAGATATTTCCCTTTATTCGAGCTCCGCAGTGATAGGTTGAGGGTGGAGGC